CATCAAGAATAATAATTTTCCCTATGTGGATTCTCTTGTGAACTATATGCCATATCAAGATCCCTGCAGTGGTAAGAGGTCAAAAATAGTAAGCATGTTAGAAGAATAAATAAAACATGTTAGAAGAATAAATAAAAGGTTCCACTTAGACATGCCATGTGTGCTAGTAAAGTAAAAAATTCATCTGAAAGAGAAGGACTGCTGCTCCTGGCAAAAGTGTTTTGTCTTGGAGGCAACTCTTAAATACCAAATAACAGCAAAAGCACTCCTGACATTGGGAAGTCTTTTGAAAAACCCATCCAATGCATCCTCTCTTGCTATCAGAAAGTATCAGATGAAGTGAGCTGCAGAAATAAAAAATGAAAGAAGCTCTAAATCACTGTTAATTTACTTGTTTGACAGCACCTTTTTTCCTGTGACGATATAATCAAGCAATAAAGACACAATGCAATAAAAAGTTTCACAGAGTTCAAGTGTTTTTTACTGTATAGAAACAGCTGAACACTTCAGCACAGTATCTGGAACATCCAACACTGTACCTGACCATGAAAGGAAAAAGAGTTACACCTCCTCATAGTCAGATATCCAACTTTTGCTATGGAAACTAATACTGTATCAATCCTGCATCTCCTCCTTTAACAAAACAACTCCAGAAGAAACTGCCACTGCAGTTTGTCCTGCATTGAAAACATTCCTCAGAAACTAGCAGCAGTTCAAACTTCTCAATGTAGCATTTAATTCTGCCTGAGACTGTAATAAATGCAAGCTTTGAATAAATGGAACTGTGGCATTCATTCGCAAATTGCACTGCTGACAAGCCTCCGAGACAGAACCAACCCCAAGGAGTATCGATTGCTGCACTTAAGGCAACATAGTGCTCTGGATCTTAAACATTTACTCGAGTGCCTGAAGACTTCCCAAAACTTTTACTTTTCAGGCTGAGCTCTTCTGAGTCACATGAGCAGTTCAGAGACTTTCAGGAATCCTCGTAAAGAAAACAACAGCCTGAGGTAGAATGGGAAGCGAGGCAACAAGGAGAAGAAAGACAGGGTTGTATTTATATATATATTTTTTTAAAGATTCTTATGCTGAGTAAGTGAGAAACAAATATCTAACTGCTTAAGTAGCTGAAAGGGAAAAAAACTCCTAATGCACAAACACACAGAAATGAGCAAAATTCCTTAAAACATTCCAGTGGAAGTGAATTGACTTGCCAAGGTAGCCACATCCAAATGTAATCATAAGACACACATGTACTGGGCAAAAAATTTAAGTTATAGACTTAATTCTGCCATTGTAAATCAAGTCCAGACAGCTGCAGTATTTTGTTTGGGTATGAGCAAGCCATTGTCTGTCAAGGAACACCTAAAATCCTTTCCTCATTCATTTGTATCTTAAATTAAAAAGGATGCACTTTCTTTTGTGTTTCATAGAGTGTGATTGAAGACATTCTGCTGGCATCTGTGGCTAAACAGTTCCCCAAACTTGACTTCTTTGGACACAAAAACTCCACTTTACAATACATGTAAATGCTGGAGCCTCACATGGCCCATCCATCTGACTGAACCCTGAGGTTCATCCTGCTTTGAGCAGGGGGCTAGGCCAGACAACCTCCAAAGGACCCTTCCAAACTAAATTATGTTGCAAACAACTCCAGTGACTGAAAGCTCAACCTTAACTCTGCCATTTTAAGCAGATGCCACCCAAACACATTATTATTGTATCTAATAATATCAACCCCTCTCTTCCCTCAAACACTGAGATGTCAGTATCTAGCAGCTCCCTTGGAACTGAATTAAACTCTTGCAGCAGCCTGGTACATCTCCAGCAAAGCCTTGTACAGAGCACTTCTTCACCATCACATGTTTTTTGGCAGGGCAGTCTCCTCAAGTGAAACTACCTGCAGATGTAGGCGAGGGCTGTCCAGTGGAGTCAGTGGGCAGAAGTATAAAATCAGGGTGCCAGCCAGCAGTGACAGCAATCCTCAGGGGCTCTGCAGGGTACGTAACAGTGCATGAGGGATTAATGAAGGCCTAGAGATCCTGAGAACAGGGCTTGCTACCCAAGCTGCACCAGAGCCAGCAAGGACTTGCCAAGCTAAGTTACATTTGCTCCGTTACACTGTAACATTCACAAATCATTCTGTGTATCGACATGTGACTATTTATTCACAAACACTCGCAACAGAAGCCGAAATATCCCAGGGAGGTTTGGTAAGACGCTACATCACTTAGGTGTCCCGGAGAGCGTTCATGCACCAGCAGCAACCTGTACCATGACTTGGGGAGTGAACCACACAGCACGGTGCCCGCAGTGGGGCAGAGCCAAGGTCGAGCACAGCAGCTGACAGCTCCTTCTGGGATGGCACGGGGCACTTAATATTCTTCTGCCACCATTGATACTTCAACATGAAATACACCCTGTTTTCCGCTAACAAATGTATTGCTGAAACCAGCGAGAATTAGAGAATAAAAACGTATTTTACATTGAGTACCCATTAAAGCAACGTGTTGCTTAAAAAAATCCCCAAAAGACAACAAAAAAATAAAACAAAAAAACCCATCCAAACCAAATCACTATTTACACCATCTGCACACTGAATTCCAAGGTATTTTCCTAATCTAAAACACTATTACTCTGAGTTAACCAAAGTATTATTACTATTGTCAGATAATAGCTCTTGATCCAGGGCAATCTAGTTGCAAAAGAAATTAAAATAAATAAATACACTGAAAGGTAGCATTCGTGTGGGATGAAGGTGGGTGCGCCTTTCACACACCAGGGAAAAAGAATCCCTCCTCCGATGAACTGAACTACAAAAATAATCCGAAAGAAGTACAAATTAGGCCGAGTATTAAAAAAAAAAATCAAAATAATAACACACGCCGAAGTCTATGTGCACAATGAAGGCAATTGTTCCTCGGCCCAGAAAAAGCCGTGACTTCCCCCTGCGCGGCGGTCAGGAGGTCGGGGCCGCGGGCGGCCTCAGCCGCAACCCGGAGGCGGGGGCAGCGCAGGGCCGGGCCCGGCGGAGCTGAGCCGAGCCGAGCCCCCGCCGCCGCGCTCGGCAGCGCCCGGCCGAGCTAAGATGGAGCCCAGGTTTGATGTCAGCCCCAGGGGCGGGCGGAGGGCAGCGCCGGGGCGGGGGCGAGGGCAAGGTCAGCCGCCAGCCCGGCGCGGCCCCGCCGCCTCCGCCCGCCCCGGGAGCCCCGCGGGGCTCCTGCCGAGCCGGGCCCGCCGCTGCCGCCCCCCGGAACGCCCCGGAGCGCCCGGGCTTGGCCCCTGCCCGCCGCGCCGGGGCCGGGGCGCTGCAGAGGCGGGCGCTGCTCTCCCGCCGCTCCCCACGAGCCGAGCCGAGCCCGGCCGAGCCGAGCCGAGCCCGGCCACGCTCTGCGGGAGGAACCGCGGCTGCTGGCTCAGCTCCTCCGGCGAGCGGACCCCAAAGGGCTGTGCGGGGGCAAACGGCAAGAGGAAGGGAGAAGTGGAGAGGAAACCCCCAAAACCAACCTCAAACATCAACCCCCCCGAAGCAAAGCCCACCACAACTCATGCCCTTGCCTCGAGGCGGCAGGAAGGGAAAAGGGGAGACAAATCTTTGGGGGCTGCGAGCGCTTCCCCCTCGCCCCCAGGCTACCGCCCCCCGCGCCCCCATCTCCCATCCTGGCCCATATGCCGGTGCGGGAAGAGCGCGGGGAGCGCTGCCCCAGCCCCTGTGCCCGCAGAGCGGAGCGGGGACCGGGCCGCGCTCCGCCCGCAGCGGCGCCCCGCGGGCAGGGGCAGGAGCCGCCCCGGTGAACTCCCGGTGACCGAGCCCGGCTCCGGCACCGGCGGCTCAGCTCTCGCCCTGCCCCGAGCTCGGCGCGGAGGGGCTGCAGGCACGCTCCGAGCAGATGTGTCGGGGACAGACAAATGACCCCTCCATCCACCCCACGCTCTCCTTAAAGCAGCCCTGGGGCCATGCAGGGGCAGGGTATTTTTAGGTCCCTTCCCCTCCTCTCCGCCTCCCTCTCAATAGCTGCCGAGCGCTGAATACAAGGAGAGGGGGAGAGAGGGAGCGGGAGAAAAGTTAACTGTTTTGCAAAGAGGGGAGAAACAGGCAGGGAGGGGGGAGGGAGCGATCGGGAGCAGGGCAGGGTGAGCCGTGTCAGGGGATGTGTGTGTGGATGCGTGTGTGCGTGTGTGTGTGCGAGCGCAGTGGGTGCCCGCGGGCGGAGGATCGGATGCACTTTAGCCCTGTGCTCTGCTGCTCTCGTCTGGGGCAGAGCCGCCGAAGCCTGAGTCTCGCCTGGCTCGCCTGACCCTTCATTTCACTGCGGCCAGGAGGAGCCCGGAGCCCGCCGCCGCCTCCTCTCCCTGCTCTGCAGGGACCTCGCCTGCCACGGTCTGCCTCCCCGCCGCCCCCTCCCACGCCGCCGGCGGCGGCCGCGGCCCCCTCCGGGGTGGCCCCGGGGTCGGTGTGGGGTGCCCCGCCGACCCCCTCGGCTGCCGCTGCCCGCCTACCCCCCGCTCCCGGGCCGCCCAGCCCCTCCGCAACCTTTAGCCGGGGACAGACCTCTCGGCTGGTTCCGCACAAGACGCCAGCAGCCGCTTCCCCTCTCGCCGCCCTCCCCTCCCGTGCTTAGCCCCCCTCCCCACCCCAATAAAACAGACCCCCCTCCCTTCGGCCCCAAAGAGAAACCCACACCGCCCCCCCCTCCACCCCCCCCCCCCAGCACAAATGCACAATCACGGGCGAGGGGAGGGAGAGGGAGGAAAGGGCGAGAGACGCGAAGAAAGAAGGGGGGAAAGGAGAGAGAGGAAAAATTAAAAGGGCACAAGGCTGTTCATCACCAACATGGCTGCCTTAGCTCAGACCTAAAAGAGGAATAACCCAGGCTGTGTCTTTGTCAGTTTCACCTCTGTAACCCTAAACTAATGCACGAAACGACGGAGGCGGCTGCAGAGGGGAAGGAGACGGGGAGAGGAGGAAGGAGAAAATGGCAAAAAGAGGGGGCACTTACGTGAAGAGAGGCGCTTGGGCTGCTCCTGCTTCCTCCTGGGCATTTTCCCCCTTTTTTCACATTCTCCTCCTTGGTTTAACGGGAGATCAAATAAGACCGGGAGGGGGGGCACGGACAGGCACAAAGCCGGGGCCCCCGGGGGAGCCGCTAACCGGGGCGGGTTTTCCCTCTTCGCCGGGGGAAAGGGGGCTTGAAGCCGGTTTTCTCGGAGCCACCGCAAAGGGCTCCGTCTCCCCCTCTCTCTTTCTTTTCCTCTCCCCCCCACCCCCCACCCCCCCACCCCCCCGCAACCCGGTCGTGCACCTGGCTTGTCCCCGGTCGCAGTATCCCTCAGCGGCCGGGGATGTGTTCCCGGCGGGCGGGCGGGCGCCGGGCGCCGTGCCGGGGCGAGGGCTGGCGCGGCGGTGCCGAGGGCTGCGCCCCGCGCTCCTGCCGGCCCCTAACTAACACTAACGCCGGGATCAAAGGGCAGCGGCGGCGGCGGCGCTCCCGGCGCGCCCGCGGGCGGGCAGGGACACCGCACACACCCCCGCACAGCCCCGGCGGGCGGGCACACGCACGGACACACGCACAGACACACGCGCGCCCCGCTGGAGCACAGGGGACGGTGCCCCCGCTCCCCGCGGGCTCCGGGCGCGGCGCTGCGCGGCGGCGGAGGATGCGCTGCCCCGGTCCTGCACCCGCTGCCAATCCGCTCTTTAAAAAAAAAAAAAAAAATTAAAAAAAATTAAAATTAAAAAAAAAGGTGCGTGTGTGAATTTGTGGGTCTTGACCATTCACACTGTAATCCCCTTGTTTGTGGTAAGAAGGAAAATAATAGCATCAATCTTTTTTTTTTTTTTTTTTTTTTTTTTAAATTACGGCGTTTTGTCTTCCTGTGTTAGGAAAGTAAAATTGTGGCGGTGCACAGCTAACCCCATAGAATTTTTTGGATGGGCTCAGCTATCCCTTCACAAAGCACAGGGGCCGAAGGGGTTTATGCAGCCGAACTTCGGTGCGGGAGGGAGAGGCTGCTTTATACACAACTCCCTCCAGGCCAAAACAAGCACCCAAAATAAGCCAGAAAGAAAGGTGGCCAGGTTGGTATCCTAATAACTTCTAGTGCAGGTTTTAAAAAGTGGAAAGAATACAAGCAGCATGAAAATCACAACTCCTTGAGAGAGAGAGAGAGAGTGTGTGTGTGTGTGTGTGTGTGTGTGTGTGTGTGTGTGTGTGTTTGTGTGTGTGTGGAGGGGGGAGGAAATCAAGATTAGGTCACCCCTAATGGTTGATTTAACTGCTACATGATACGTCTACAGTGCACACAGCAATCTGGACTTCTGAAATTTACTTTTTTTTTTTCCTGCTGTAATGCAGGTATATGAAGCTTGATCCTGAAGCAATTCCAGTGTGCATTATGAAGCCAGGATAGCAGCTTTCATTAACTGATACATACTCTCATTACTTCACAAATCACACATCTTTCTTCAAAGACAGACATGAAGGTGGAGAAAAAAAATAGAAGAGGGATTGGGTCTCACTAAAGCACAAAAGGTACTCCGTGAAAGAGAAGTGCTCTCTTTGTGACTTGCAGTCATTTGGATAAAAGTTCACACAGAGGTTGTTAATGATTTAAACTCCAAAACCTGTTACAACAATTGAAGTAAAATTATTTGAAGCATAGTTGTTTCATACAGCTCTCTCTTTGTATAAGAAAACTTTGAACTTAGCAGAATACATAATCAAGATTGTGAGTCAGATGTTGCAAAAATAAAAATACGCATTATTCTAGCATGTATACCTGTTAGAATTTTTTGGCTTTTGACAACCTGACTCATCATTTTATCATACTATTTTTCTTCCTAACTTCAATTTCTTAAAAATAAACAGCTGCCTAGGAAAACACAAAACACCAAATATGCAACCTAAATATTTTTAAACAATAAATTTAAACTCTTAATCACCTCAATTTAGAATGGTTTCACATAATCTTATACTCATTTTACAGCCACACTGAGCCTTTCAGAAGGAAAAAGAAATCTAAATAGTCTTTAAAAGATCACACATGTGACAATCTCAGGTTCACTACCATGCCTGTGCAATTCTGAGTTTCAAAACCACATGTACAGGGTACACATCTACTGAAACAAAACAAATTCCTCCTGGCTTCAGGTGGTTTATCATTTCACAACACAGCTAAAATACTCCATTTTCATGGAGAGATTAATTTATTTTTAATCCAGAAGTAAAACCAAAGTGTGTAACTGTCAGTACTGGAGATTTTGGGGGTAGAGACGAGTCCAAACAGCTGCCTTACACTTACTCATGACCAAGAGTACCATAGACAGAATTCCCTCAGAAGATTTAGGTCCTGTCTTTTCCCTCAGTTCTCCAGTTTATACTGGTTTTGGTGATTTCCACTGTGTTAGTAGTGACAACCGAAAATATCAAGGCATTTTCACTGTTGCTCACAAACCTCAATTTTGACATGCCTGGGACTAGCACCAGAACTTTCTCCACTGCAGGACTTACAATGCCAGACCTCCTTACTTATTTTTTCAATCCATTCTAATGGCAACTGTGCTGAACTAAGCCAGCTTTGTGAGCAGCGATCCTGTCAGTGCAGGAGGCCACAAAGTGGCCATTTCAGAGAGGGAGAGAGTGCTGCCTCTGTGCTGCTGTGATCCACCACAGCTGGGGCAGCCCTTCCCCAGGTGCTCCAGGAGAACAGGACACAGGAAATACTGTGTTCTTCACTACCACTCCTTCCACCCTCTATTCCTCATGCCTTTCTGGCATAAATTAATGTTGACATTGTCAGCATTAATTTACAATGTGCCGTGTGGGTTTTTTTCCCCTCCATCATTTGAAACCCCCTTTAGGGGAGTTGAGGTGGCTGCAGCAAAAAGGCACCACGGGAACAGAGCTCTCTGAAGGGGCCGTGGGGACTGGCACACAGCAGAGCAGCATTAAATCTCTCTGAGGGTGACCTTGGCTTCCATAGACATCCTAACAGTTTTCCTAGGAGTTTAGTGGGCCAAGCCTTAAGAGTGTTCTGCAGTGGAAGAAATCCCAATGCTTGAATGAATTATCAGGGAGAAACTTTATATACTCTAGCTTTGAAGAGTTTCTAGCCCCACACCTGGAAATACTCATTCAGGGAACAACTTGGTTTTTCAACTCTATCCTGGCTAAGTGCATTACTCCAGGTCTTGTCCTGGTCAACAGATAGTATCCAGCCTTCCCACTGGAACCATAGGCACATCACTTCCCACTATTTTACACATTGATTTAAGGAAGGTGACTAAGGACAAAATGCCACTTTAAAAATAATCCCCAATAATGTGTTTGGTGGTATAGCACAAAAAGAAAAAATTAAGTCAGCTGACCACACTTTTGAACATTTTTAGTCCAAACACAAGAAAATAGTTGCAAGTCTTCCACAGATAACATAATATAAATAATGCATTGCTTCTGCAGGTCCTGCTATTAATAAGTAATGATTGTATGGCACCTTCCAAACACCAAACCTAGTTACACATATGAATTAAGTTCAGCTCCAGAAACCACTTTCAAACAAAGTAAATATTTTCTTCACTTACACAAGAGAAAAATGAAATAAATTGAGTAAATAAAGTTTCAAACAGTAATAAATGATGTAACATTCCTAAAACCTTTGCAGCATATCTAGCATCCAAACTGTCTTTATGCAACATACCAAATCCTTGAAAATATTGCTAAACAGAAACTTAAAAATTAGCGGGCATCCTCGTTTTGTTTTTTGAGACTTTAAAGAATTCTGCTCCCAGGGTCAGATTTTTTAAAAGAAGTGCACTGAGGGGAAAAATGAGACCATTATAACCAGTTTCTGGGCCCTCTCAAACCAAACTATGGCCACCTCTGCTTTAAGTATCACCTACCAAAAGTAAGGCCAGGTCAGTTCTGTGTCCCTGAGCATGCAGCGGAGAGTTATTCAGGCTCTTTTTAAAGTTACTCCTATCTTTGGATTAATTTTCTGTTGAGCATAGGCAAATACCTTCTACAGCCTCTGTATCTTCAACATGTACAACAAGGCCCACTAGTTTTAATTGAAATTACCATCTCTCTCACATGTGTTGGCCATTGCCCTTAACAGCATAAACTCCTCTGGCTTTAATATATGCCAATATTTCCTTGCTCAGCAGTAACTACAAATCAGTCCTTCAAACACCATTTGATTACAAACTTCTCTTTGCTCTTAAGCACTTGAAAGGCAAACAAAAGGGCTGAACAAGCCCATAGGACAACAGCTCATGGATACCATCATCCATGCTTGCAATTGCTCTGTAAATAAATAACATTAAGTAACAGGTTTGTAAGAATAATTAAAAATGACAAGTTAGTGACAGGCAAGGCCACCAACCAACCCCACAAAGGCCAATGAGCAATGATCAGAAGCCATTGCTGTCTGATGAGTGTCATCCTAGGACAGATAACAAACAATTACCAAGTGGGAGATGCACTCACATAATCAGCAGATCCTAAATGACACACAGGCTTCAGCTTTTTTAAAAATTACCAAATTCTCCTTCCACAAAGTTTTTAACCTCTTCTTTCTTAAAATGAAAGGCCCACAGCCACTTCTAGGCAAGAACTCTTGCAGAGGGTATATTGAATCACAAATGTTCTTGAAGACCAAGAATTCCACTAGAGAACTCCACTAGTCTCAAAGTCTCCAAATGGAGAGGCATCAAGGAGGAAGAGTGCAATATGACCTGTGCCTCTTTGCTAAAACACAACCAGCTTTCTCAGAATCTTGTGTGAATCCTGGCAAACTAACTAGCCATCATCACTTTATAACAAACTTTAGCACAAGATGCTTCTAGTTGAGCTGCAAATTTAACACATTAATACTTCTTCAGAAAAACCATGGTGTTCATAGTTTTCAGCTGTTAGAATAGCACACTACCTAGGAAAGATGATATAGCTTCTAATTTCAATTTTAAAAAAATCAACACTATAAGGCTGATGGCTTTAAACCCATGCTGACATAAAATTCTAGATTTCACAGGCGAGAAATACATTGTCTATGGGTCTGAAGAAGAATCACATATAAGTGTCCACATAATTTTGTTGCTACTTAAATACTATAGGATGCTCCTTCAGCATTACCAAAGAGTTTCATTATTCTTATTTTACCATAACTGCAGTTGGCTTTCCAATTTCATAATTCCATAACTTATGTATAATATCATCCTATTCC